TTTGAAGCATTTTTTCTTTTCCTGGTTACTAATTGCAATCTTATCTTCTATATCTGAAATTCTGTCCTCACATTGGCTCATTGTTCTATGTAGACTTTCAAGGGAGTTTTTGATCTCCTGGAAATCTGTTTGTATCTGTTTTATGGATTCCATTAGTTTCCTATGTTGAGATTCCATCATGTTCCTCAGCTCCTCTATTTTTTTAATCTGTATCCTCTCTAGGTTTATTAATCATGTGTTGCACTATGGGCACAATCTCTGCTGTTAGCTGAGAAATTATTTCTGATATCATTTTTTCCAGATCCTCTTTTGTTGCCAGTTCAGGGAGTCCAGGTGGTTGAGTATCAGAGTGTTCCATCTAGTTTCCCTTTGGGGTTGCTGCAGGTGATCTGGAAGTCTGGTTTTGAGACTTGTTTACATGTTTTCTCATTTAGACGTGGGAAGGGGGGGGTGCTATTGGCACCTGCTCGGCTCACCTCCTCTGTGCTGGGAGCTGTGGAACTGGGGCCCGAAAGCCCCTTCCTCTGGGCTTGGAGCAGTGGAATGGCAACCCAGAAACCCCTTCCTCTGGGCTGGGAGTGGTGGAACAGCGGCCCAAAAGCCCCTACCTCTGTGCTGGGAGCAGTGGAACTGGGGCCTGGATTCCCCTTCCTCTGGACTGGGAGTGGTAGAACTGGGGCCCAGAAGCCCCTACCTCTGGGCTGGGAGTGGTGGAATGGTGGCCTGAAAGCCCCTTCCTCTGGGCTGGGAGTGGTGAAACGGTGGCACAGAACCCCCTTCCTCTATCACACAAACTCTTGAACCGTCCCTGCCCTGCTGCTGTTAAGTAAGAGGACTGCTTCACTCTGAAGTTGCATAAACTAATGACTCGATCTTTTTCAGGAGACCCACGCTGTGAGCACAGCACCAACTTGAAGCCCCACAAACTGTTAAGCAGATCATACTCCAGCAACCTTAGACTGGAGGAGTTGAATGGATTGAAGAATCACAAATCACTCAGCAAGTGTTACTGGAGTAACAGTTTCTATAAAAGGCTGTGGCCTTAACAATGTCTCCATAGATTATATCACCACTTGGTCCTGCTACAAAAAGAATCACTTTTACTTTTTGGACTCCTACCAGTTTTGCTTATTTACAAATAGAATTTTGCCTTCACGTAGTTTTCTCCACAGGTGACACAGAACTGGCTGTCTGGAACAGTAATGTCACCCTCCTACTTTCCCAGAGACCTGGGTTTCCCCTCCTAGGAATGAGCTTCAGTTACGGCCTCTGCTAGGAGATGGGAGGTGGCCCTTGGACCTCCTGTCACTAACAGTTTCAACTGTCCCATTCAACTCACCTGGGGAGTAAGAAGCTTCTGCTGGGCAGAAGGGGAAACTACTTGCTGAACAATGACTATCTTAAGGCCCTGGGCAGAAGACATGATCTACACATAGGTTCATGAACACTCCTTTCCTAAGTGTACAAGGGTGGGCCACATCCAAAAGTTATTGAACTGCTACCTTGGCAGCCAAGTGACACACTCGCAAGCTCCCCTGTGACCAATAGATATGCACTCCTTTCCTCTCACCCCAGAAAACTTGAAAAATGCATGAGTGAGGGTGATTTTACTACACAAACACCTTTGAATATGCCCCATTTTGTTTTAATGTAATTTATTGGAAACTTCAGTACTTTATTATTAAAAATAAATTTATCAGCAAGGTGGCAAGACACAGTCGCACACAAAAATTAATTGCTTTTCTAATACACTAATAATAATTTGAAAAGGAAATTATAAAAACTATTCCATTTAAAATACCATCAAAGGATAAAATATGTATTAACTTAAGGTAATAAAAGATTTATACAATAAAAACTATAAAATATTGCTAAAATAAATTAGGGGAAACATATATAAATGGAAATATGTCCCATGTTTATAGACTGAAAGACTTAATATGGTTACAATGTCAGTGTTGTCCAAAGTGATCTATATATTAAGTGCAATCCCTATCAAAATCACAATGATGTTTTTTGTAGAGAAAGAAAACCTACCCTAAAATTCAGATGGAGTCTCAAGGGATCACAAAAGTCAAAGAAATCTTGAAAAAGAACAAAACTGGAAGACTCACACTTCCTAATTTCAAAACGTATTATAAAACTACAGTAATCAAAACAGTGTGATGCTGGTATAAAAATAGATATAGAGGTCAAAGGACTAGAATAGATAACCCAGAAATACAAATACTTTTTGACAAGGGTGCCAAGGCCATTCAATGGGGAAAGAAAAGTCTTTTCAATAAAGTGCTGGGAACACTGGATATCCACATAGAGCAGCATGAAGTTGGAATTTTACCCAACACTATATATAAAAATTAATTCAAAATAGATCAGAGACCTAAATGTAAGACATAAAACTCTTAGAAGTAAACGTAAGTCAACATCTCTACAACACTGGATTTGGCAATGATTTTTCTGGATATAATAACCAAAGACTAATAAATACAGTAGATATCATCAAATTAAAATTTTAAAAAATTTCCATACATAAAAAGACACTATTAAGAGAATGAAAAGACAATCCATATGAGAGAAAATATTTGCAATAATATATTTGATAAGTGACTAGTGTGCAGAATAAATAGAAAACTCCTAACTCTCAACAACAACAAAACAACACAATTCAAAGATGGACAAAGGCTTTGAGTAGACATTTCTCCAAAGAAGATATACAAATGGTCAATAATCATATAAAGAGATCCTGAGCATCACTAACCACTAGGGAAATGTAAAGTAAAACTATAATGAGATATTACCTCACCCATTCAAATGGCTACTCTTTAAAAAAAAACAGAAAATACCAAGTATTGGTGAGAAAGTGCAGAAAATTGAAATGTCTGGGCATTGTAACTGGGAATATAAAATGATGCAGCCACTTTGGAAAGCAGAATGGCAGTTCCTCAAAAAAAATGCCACATATAATCTAGCAATTCCACTTCTGGGCATATATCCCCTAAAAACTGAAAACAAGGGCTCAAGATAAATATCATTTACACCCACATTCATAGCAGTATCATTCACAACTCATTTTATTAAAATGCAAACGCAACCACCAATAGATGAATGGACAAGTAGTAAAGTGTAATTTATACATAGAGGAGAACATTTTTCACCCTTTAAAGGAAGGAAATCTGACATATGCCACTACATGGATAAATCCTGAGGACATTATGCTAAGTGAAGTGAACTAGTCACAAAAAAGAAGTACTGTATAATTCCAATTATATGAGGTACTTAACTCAGTCAAAAATCATAGAGACAGGAAGTATAACAGTCCTGTTGCCACAGGCAAGGGGAAGAGAGGAATGAGGAGTTATTGTTTAATGGACACCAAGTTCTACTTTTAGAAAACGGAAAGAGTTCTGTTGATGTATAGTGATGATAGTTGCACAACACTATAAGTGTCTTTACTATCATTGGGCTGTACATTTAAAGTTGTTGGGATGATAAATTTTATGTTGTATGCATTTTACCGAAATAAAAAATTGGAAAATCAGTAAATAAATTCCTCCTGGTATACCTCACAAATGACATGATATCCTGGGTCTGCCAGAGAGCAACAAAATAATTCCTTCTATGTAGATGTGTTCCACGGGAAGCAGAAGCAGTAAGTCAGCTTCTGCCACTCAGCTTTTGCAGCCTCAGAATGACCAGGCCTCCAAGATGCTGTTATTTGAGTGCTTTGTGAACAGGGCTTGTAGGTAGAGGATGGTGGAGGTGCCTAGTGTGAAAAGGTACAGTTTGTTTTGCTATTCCAAGTGTGGCTTGTGACCCACAGGGATGGCAAGATTGGCACACCTGGAGGCTAGTTAGAACTGCAGGATCTCTCAGGTCTCACCCCATTCCTGCAGAATCAGAATCTGCATTTTAATAAGATCCCCAGTGATGTGTGAGCACTTTGAAGTTTGAGAAGCATTGCTCCCATGAACTGACAAATTATAAATTAGTCTTCACTCAAACATCTCTCCCCACAGCTACAAAATCCCTATGGCAATCAGACTTTCCTCTCAGCACAAAATACAAAAACTCAATGTAAAGTCAGTCAGCAGCAGACCAAATTTGTGAACTTTGCAAAAGATACAAGGTGTCACAGAATTGATGGACATCATATCAGGGAACTACTCAAATCACACACACACTGCATCAGCAAGCAAGGAACTGGCAGGCTGGACCATGAGGAGAGCTAATCTAGAGGCATGATGACATTCCTTCAAAAGGGGATGATTTGAATACCAAGGAATTAAGACAAGCCCTTGGGGAAAAATGAGGAGACCCATGAATGTCTTCATAAAAATGACCCACTTTGTGATTATACTATGAAAGTCAAATATAATTTCATCAAAAACTAGTCCAAAAGAAAGTCACCACTCCAGTCATTATTCATTCTGAGTAATAGCACATTGTATACTTATAATTGAAGCTGTGTAACATTAGATAATATATAGTTTCATAAGTTTCAGTTCAATTTTTATAGATGAAGTCTAATCAAACTTTTTCTCACTGTCCATTGTTATGTTAAACCCTTGTTTTAATAACATTGATGCTAAGTGGACTTTTCCAATGCCAGTTTTCCTCCAATACTTGCTAAAGTGAAATTATTATTGTGTATTCCTTTTTCTTTTTCTCTTATGGGACTTCTTTCCTTATTACTACATATTGACAAATATAGCTGTACATATTTGAGAGATACAAAATGATGTTATGATTTTTTAATATAATATGGAACAACCAAGCCAACCAACCAAGCCATCCATCACCTCAAACATTTGGCATCGCTTGTGATGAGAACATCCTTATGACACAACTTTTTTCTACCTGTAATTGATACAACTCACTTCATAGCTAAGTGAAGAAGTCTTTTTTAATGTGTATTTTCTGGTGACATGTTTCAGTCCATTGTGCCGCCATAGAAAAGGCTTATTCGTGGGGGAACAGATATCTATTCAGTGATGTATTACCTTATCAACCATGAGGAAGTTCTCTAGCTTCTCTCCATTTTCACAGGTGACATCACCAACCTCTCTCACAGCTCTGGGCAGGATCTCTTGCACCTCCTGGGCAATCATTCCTATGTACAAAACACTCCAACAGATTTAATCAGAGAAAGACTGCTGGGAGAAAATCCTGGCAGGTCTATGTCAGGATGAAACCCTGATAGCCACAGGACATCTTAGGAAAGAGATGTTTATCCCTTCTAAGCTTTGGCTTTGATCTACAATACATTTTACACAAAGAGGAAACTTTGAGCCAAGAATCACTATAGGATTCAAAGTGAGAATATAGTTATTTTACTCTCTTTCTATTTAAAGACTCTCTGACAAATGTTGGGAAGGGTGAGTAAATACCTTAAAATCCTTGTACATAGAAGGAAAGGTGGGGAATTAGCTTTAATTCCTTTCTTTTCCTATGAGAGGCCTTTGCCCCTAAATATTCCTTCTTTCTTTAGGATTCTTGGGTTAGAGAATAAACATCATTTTGTTTACACTTTCTCTTTCCTAGACCTACCTTCCTACCCTCCAACTTCTTCCTCCATTCCCAAACTGCCCAATACTGCCCCTCCCACAGTTTGAGCTACCATTTTCCCAACCTTTATCTCATGAGCAAGATGATTCCATCGAAAAGAAACAATATATTCAGATTACTCCGCTAGGACATTACGGTGCAGGAATGGAGGTGATAGAAAAGATGACACAGAAATTCTTCAACCTTTCCTGATCTGGTGAATGTGGGTTTCACAGAGAATGAGATAGAGCACCAGGGTGTTATCAAATCCTATAGCACACAACCTCAAAATTAAGAGGGAATTCAACTTTAATGGCTGATGATACAAAATTGAAAAGGGAATTTGTTTGTGTACCTGTTTGATGGGCAGTGTTTATTCCCATTGCAGATGCAAACTCAGGTTTGTAGTCATATTCAACAATCCTCATTTGTGCTATTCTTCTCAGCTGTTCATTTGTGTCAACCTAAATTGATTAAAGAAGAACAGATTTACAATGTTTAGATAACTGCTATTCAAATCAATGCCCAGAGAGATTAGGAATATTGACAATGGGACTGTTCTTTTCTTTTGCCCAACTACTGTAAGAGAAATTTCTCTTTCTCCTTAGAGGAGCCAAAGTTGTAAGGTTCACGTCAGTGATTTCCACCCACTGACTAATAAACTGACTCAGGGTTTTGAACCTATATTATAGGGCAAAAGCTTGATCTGTCACTGTTCTTGCCATATTTTTCTCCCCTGAGAGCTGAATCCTCCTTTTGAGAAGAGGTTCTTCACTTTGTAGAGAAACAGTGGCTTCTCTGGATCATAAGGCATCATTTTCAAATGATACAGATTAATAGCAAAACTTGTATTTGCAAATTGAAATGGCAGTGCTTTGTTCAAGGGCCTATATTATTGAATTGTTTTTAAACATTTTGTAGGAGAAAATTCCTTCAAGTGGATTACAAGTCTAGATTATTCAACTACTGGTCCTTCAGGACTCAGACCTCCCACTTCGCTAGGTAGCTCAGTGCCCCAGGTCACTCTGGTCAACCAAGGTACCTGCCTCTGAGATCTCTGCTCTGTGTACAAACGCATTTCTGTTACTGCAGAGTCCTCAATTTCACTGAGCCCCAGGAAAACGGTAACAACCATAACACAATGAATTTTCCCTAAAGCTAAATGTGTTTAAGCCAAATGATTCCCTAGTGGGGTTTTTTTTATGACTTGTTGAAACTAGCCTGATCAATTTTCTTAATTACTTTATTTGACAAACAAAATATTGGACACCTTTTGCAGGTTCATCAAAATTTGTTTTAGAATATTACTGAGCTGGGGATGTAACTCAGAAGAAGAGCACTTGCCTAGAATACTACTGGATTATGAAGCCAGTGGTGTCTTGCCAATAAGAAATATACTGCCTGGGCACTCATCCATGCTTTAGAGGAATCCAATATGCTTTTGTTGTTGCTGCTGCTGCTGCTATTTTAAGAAATCCCCTGTCATGGCTGTCAACTCCTTCTTTGACCAACTCCATGAAGCCGAGGAAAGTTCTTCCACAGTCAGGACTCTCCGCCCTTCCTCAGTTTGACTGGTTGTAACAGTGGACACTGGTACTCATTTGGCCAAAAGGACTAACTTCACTTCAGATACTTATCTCATAGTATAATTTTGAGTTTCTTGCTGTTTTAATAACTACTATTATCAGAAGCTAAGGTCAACTCATTTATTATTTGTTTCATTCAATTAATATTTACCAGTCACATCATGCATTATTAAATATATCATGTACTATTAAATATTGGGGCTTTTAAAAAATGATTGCCTTTTTAAAGTTTCTGGTCTCAACAGGAAGATAGACACATCACATATAATTATATTACACTGAGAAAAATGCAGTGTGTTACTGAAACTATGACCATCCTCTCAGCTCTGAGGAGCTACCTAAAATATTTTTAGGCGAGCCAAGAAGAAAGCTTCCTAGAGATGGTGAAGCCTAACCAAGAGCTTGCCTTCTTTCAGTTCCTCAAATATGTTCTACTCTTTGCTCCTCAGGGCCTTTGCTCATGCTGGTTACTTGCCTAAAGAACTCTTACCTTTTCCTCCTCCAATTTAAACATCTTTTCCTCAGAAGATTTTTGACCCTCAAGACTAGGAAGTGTCCCTCTACTTTCTGTGCTCTTTGCACTGTTCTCCTTCACAGTACAAATCACAATACACCAGATGACTAGTTGTGTCGACTTTATTCTCTGTCTTCCCCTACAAGGTATACACCCTAGAGGATGAAGACTGTGTGAGACCATCATTTTCTGTTCATCACCATATCACTAGTTTCTAGTATAATACTTTGAATGCTGTAGGTGCTCAACTAATAGTGGGGTAAATACCTTGATAATTTTAAGTTACAAGTAAAGGAAAGACATAGACTAGGATGTGGGTAGAAAAAAAATGAGACTAAAATAAAAACTATAAGCAAAGAGAACACCAGGACACAAGACCCAAAGCACCAAGTCTCCTAAATGAAAACTGCTTAACCAAGGCAAAGTTTGGAGTTAAAAAACTATAAAGGTCAAGGCCAGAGCAGCAAGGGCCTTAAGGCCATGTAAGGAAGGAACAGTCACCAGTTCCCATTACTGTGTGCACATATCTACCACTATGAGCTCCTTCACTCATTCAATAAATATTTAGTAGCTACTGTGTACCTGATGTTATCCTAGGCACTGGATATTTGGTGACTATATCTTGTTTGGAGTTTATATTTTTTTTAGATTACTAAAAATATTTCTTACAGTAAAAGACACATTGTCATTAATTCCTCTCAGAATATTCCCCCTCACTCGGAGTTTAGGTTTTAATAAAAGCTTAGTTTTAATAAAGGGTAGATTCTATGTCTTATTCATTTCAAGGCCTGCACGGTGTCTAAAAAAAGAATTGGACAAAAATCTTCAATGGAGAAAAAAGGAAATAAAAGAATGAAAGTAGTGAAATGGCAGAACAGTTCCTGGCAGAACTGAAGGGGAACAGTCAATGAAGATACTTCCTGGACTGATCTAACACTATACAGTTCCCTACCCCTGCACTGCTAGCAGTCCTTTGCTCCTTTCTTTTTACCCTTTGCTTCCTGCATGGCCTGTGGGAGTCTCCAACAGAGAATAAAATGGAGGCAGATTGGTCCTTTTCCTGCAGGAAGAAAGCAAACAAACCCACGCCCTCCTGCATGCTGTCCACACAACTGAGAGGGTTTCCCAGTTGGATCCTTAACTTCATTTTCCCCAAAGATATTGTTAGACATAGAATTAGATTCTCTAGTGCTATTATCATTGTTCTTTGAATAGATTTTTTGATGAACTACAATGTTGAGGGTCAAATTAAAGACCTAAACACCTTATGTAACAGTATGCTTCAAAGAGAATACTCTTTTTGTCTCTAATGCTGGTTTTTGGACTTCCCAAAGCCAGATAGATACAGGCCATACTACATGTTCCCTGTGTGCACAGTTGGCCTAAGAAAACCCACAAGACAAGAATGTGCCTTCTTTGAATTCTTCCCAGGCTCCTCACACAGACCATCATAGAATGAACCATGTGTTGACTAAGAAGCTAGAATCTAGATTTGGGTGTCTAATTTGATCTTACAGCAGATTTGAGAAGTTTTGACCATGAATGCATTGGTTTCCATTATCATGCTGTCTCACACCCAAGGTTTCTATGTCATTAACTTAGGAACTGTGCCACCTTACAGTTCATAGGACTCTACTTTGTTCAGGGAAGACAGTCTCACTACCTGTGGTGTGATTATGGCACACAGCCCAGCCTCCTGATGACATCTGCCTGAACTACACCTGCTCACCCAAAGCTGAGGAACTATGGCCTTTGGATTGTGGCCCTGAAGGTGACTTTGCATGTTTGGCTTTCTCCAGTCTTTTCCATGTTCATTTTTGTCTTCAACTAGCACACTGGCTGGTATGGCTTGGAGAAAAACAAAACTTTTGAGACTTTCATCTGAACTGATTTCTTTTTCTGGGTTTTATTTTTAAATAGCTTGCTGCCTTTTTTCAGATTGTACCACAGAATTGGATGCATTCAACTCTCAACTTCCTCATGATGTTTTGTTTCCTTTTGTTGCATTAACATCAATATTTTTTGACAGCTCCCAGAACAGAGGAGGCCTCCAAGTTGGCATGTCACAGCTCCCAGCACACAGGAGGACTCTGGGTCGGCATGCCATGGCTCCCAGCCTAGAGGAGGCTTCCAGGTCAGCGTGCCAGAGCTCCCAATGTGGAGGAGGTGCCCAGGTAGGGGTGTCACAGCTCCCAGCCTGGAGAAGGCCTCTGGGGTAGGCGTGCCACAGCTCGCAGCACAGAGGAGGTGACCAACGCTGGCACCAGGAACACCTCACCACCACCACCCATGTCGAAATGAGAAGACATGTAAACAAGCCTCAGAACCAGACTTCCAGATCATCTACAGAAACCCCAAAGGGAAATGAGAAGGAACACTCTGATATTCAACCACCTGGACTCCCTGAACTAGCAAGGAAAGAGGATATGGAAAAAATGAAATCAGAAATAATTTCTCACATAACAGCAAAGATTGTGCCCATAGTGCAAGATATGATTAATAAATCTAGAGAGGATACAGATAAAAAAAAAAGAGAGGAGCTGAGAAACACGATGGAATGGTAACATAGGAAACAAATGGAATCCATAAAACAGATACAAACAGATTTCCAGGAGATCAAAAACTCCCTTGAAAGTCTATGCATCAGAATGAGCCAATGTGAAGACAGGATTCCAGATATAGAAGATAAGATTGCAATTAGTGATGGGGAAAAGAAAAAATTCTTAAAAATTGTAAGGGACCACAAGAAATCAATCCAGCAGCTGCTAGACGATGCAAAGAAGAATAACATAAGACTGATTGGAGTCAATGAAAAAACAGGAAAGAGTGCAGAAGATGTAAAAAAACTGTTCATGGAACTGATGGGAGAAAACTTCCCAAGCAGGGGAAAAGAACGTGACATACAGATAAGCAAGGCATACAGGACTCCAAAGAGCCTTGATCAAAAAAAACCTACACATAGGCATATAATTGTTAAGATTCCAGAAACACAACAGAAGAACAAATTCTACAGTTAGAGAAAAGAAACAAATCACATACAAAGGAAAGCCCATCAGAATCACAGCAGACTTCTCAGTGCAAACCCTCAAGGCAAGAAGAGCTTGGAATGATGTGTTTTAAACCCTAAAGGAAAACAACCTCCAATCCAGATTGATGTACCCTGAAAAATTATCTTTCAAAATTGATGGTGAAATAAGATATTTTCATGATAAAGTGTACCTTAGAAACTTCATGAAAACCAAACCAGCACTCCAAAAAATTGTAGACAAAATACTAGGAAAAGACAATGAGGATCACAACCCCAGGAAGCCCAGCAGAATGAATCCACAGGGCACGACAAGAAATTAAAAGCAAAGGGGGAGAA